AATTTGCCAACAAAAAGAATAGAGGCCCAGGAAATTTATGTGACTTACCCATATTCATACCATAATAGTGAGATCTTCATTCACCCAGAGAAGCAGGTGGCCTCAATACAGTTTTCAATAATTTTCACGTACAAAACTTCCAGAATTTTCATACTTCAACTGGATTTTTATTACTAATTTCCTCTATAAAGGGTGGCTGAAACATACATCTCTCAGTACGAAAACAGATTTTATTAGTGCCATCTCCTGGTGATAAAACAAAACTGAAAAATCATTAACTAGAGTTGAAGATTCTTGGAGTAAAGTGAAAATATAATAGTTTGATCCAGTTAGGTTTTCTTTTAATAGCTTGACCTGAGGCATCAAATTTTCCTCTCTGTAGAGTTGGAGGATACAGAACTCATTAGCCAATTTTAGGATGACATAAATAAGCATCAGTGACAATGGAGGAAAACCACAAGCTGTCATCATAGTGAAAACAGGCGTCAGAAACCTATTGATTAATACACCCTATCCCCTTTATTGGGTTTGCTCCAGTCAGAAAGAATAATATTTGGTCTAGGAAAATCAAAGAAATGTGAGCCTTACTTAAAACCAGCACCTTCACTATACTGCATTTTGGATTGCTGCCATGAATTTTAAATCTCACTGTCTGAGTCCACAAAGTGGAGGGTAAAGGGTATAAGACACAGTATGAGAGAAGTTAAAATACACTCAACACAGAATAGGAAACTGTTGGCAACATGCCTAATACTCTTGAGTGGCTTTACAGTTCTTGTGTAAAGTAGCTCCTTTTTGGCATTAAGCCTTAGACTCTTCATGGGCCTTTATAAGTTGCCTGGGGCCTGTATAACAAATGAATTTTGGTATCTCCAGCTTTTTTGTTTTCTTCAACATTTTGTTCTTAAACATAATTCTGAACTTTTAAGATAAAGACTGCAAAAGTACAGAATCAGTGTAAATCATTCCCTTCCATCCATCAATTCTGATATGCCTGAACGTCATTTGTGTTCAGGAGTTGAACCATGCCTGAAACATGAAAGATAGGGAGGAAAGAAATAAGCCTGAAAGAAGCACTCCAAAGGAGTGTCTTGCAACAGGAATCTGTGCACTAGCTTTTACATAAAAGTTAAGTAAACTTCTTGCACATTCTAGGAGAGGCATACCAACAGCAGCAGTGAACCTGTTCAAGCCCAACCAGGTCATCCAGCCCCTAAAACTAATTTCTGATTTAAACTCAAGGATTCTCATGTTCACAGTTGTACCATTTTGAAAAGTCCTAGACAAGAGAAAAGCATTCACCAAGGCCCATCCTTATTGTCTTCAGAAAGGATTTCCAGAAACAACTACCAGAGCTGCAATGCCAATGCATTCTGTGCATTGATGTTGTTTTTTCAAGCATATCAAGGCCACCAAAAGATGTGCAAACCTGAAAAATGTGCCAAGCTGTATAAAACTAAGATCATTATCACTTACGTTTTTAAATATCTTAATATCATCTTAAATATAATCAATACTTAATTCTACTAAATACTACATCAAACTTAAATATCATCAATAACCAGGCTTTAAAACTGCCTAGTTATTGATTACAGAAAGCAACTAAAAAAGAAAGTGAGTCTTGAGTAAGATTTCTGCATCAGGAACTGCACAGAATACTGATGACTGTCTTTTTTTCAGACTGCGCCAACTGACACATAAAAAACAGAAGTACTAGAGAGCAAAATAAGTATGTTAAAGAGATTTCAAGTGTGGCTCAAGCTGCTTACTGATTAACACTTCAGCACATAACACTCCTCACAGACCTGTGGGTTATTGTTCAAAAGTGAAACAAGGCTCTTTTGGCAACTGGAAACAAATTATCCTCGCTGACCAAGTTCACAGTTCTCACACAGCTTAGTAGCACTGGAGCTGTTTCTTCTTCCAGAGTCTCTAAAGGGAAAATCAAATCAAATCAAATACCAAGATGTAATGGTATGTCACCTATTGCCAGGATAAGAAAGAGCCCTAATGATCTCTAACAGAAAACAAGCTCATCTTACACATGAACAAATGAACTAATTGACTCATTTTACCATTAAAAAAAAATTACAGTCACATTTGCAAGAAAGCAGAAAATAAAATACAGAATTGTCTTTATGTCAAGGAATAAACACTACAGAAAACCTCAGAAATGAAAGATGACAGCTGTCTTTTCAATGCCTGGAAAAGGAAAACAAAGTGGGTCCATGCCTATCTGCACAAGTTTCTGTATTTCTTATTGAAGTTTCCCATTTGGGGGCAAATGTCCAGATTTGCTTCCTCAAGCTCTATTTCAGGGACATTTATTTAATATCTTCACAATTGTAACACAGCCTTCATCAAACACCCACATGCTGACTGCACTGGTTTTAGTAGAGCTGTCAAGGTGGAACGAAAGGCCAGACTGTTTCAAGGCTTGAACTCCCCCTACGTGTAGTGTCACCTGCTGCAGGGAGAACAGGGACACAAGGAGGTGGCTAAGGCACTAACAACTGTGAGCTGCTTACAATTACTGAAAATCCTGCCAGACACATCAGCTCAAACCACAACCACAGGAAGACCAAAAACCAGGTTTTCTGGCTGCCTCTCCCCTCTCCCTGTCCACGTCAGACTTCTCCACCAGGTTGTGAGTGCAGTGGCTGGAGGTGCTGCAGTTGCACTGATGTCACAAATACCATGTCAGCATCAGTAAAAATTCTTCATCAGCCAAATCCAGGCTGCTTTAAGACTACAACATATTGTATAACTCCTAAACTATGGATGAATTGTCATAACATGTTAAGTATGTCCTCTCTGATTCAGATCCCGAGCTGGATCCTCCCTCCCATAGTGTTCACCAATAATGCTGAGGGAAAAATCGAAAGTGGGCTCCCTAATTATCCCCACAGTTACCTCCTGCAACTACCTAGACCAGCAGAGATATGTTTATCTTTAATAATTCTCAATTAACTTCAAATATACCTTTTCATTGACTCAATATGAGAAACAAATAGAAGCGTTGAACATACTGGTGCTTTCAGAAAGTATGTGCTGTTTTCAGAAAGATTTGTGATTTTAATCACAACATGAGACATGAGAATACTCAAGATATGCCTGAATATAGTCCAGCTCACACTCACAAATCCATTGTCTGCACATAGGAATTAACAAGACAAGAAATAAGAATAGCTACTAGATTTCCTAGAAAACAAAATTACTATTCAGATGTGCATAAGGTATAGATATGCTGGTATTAAATCTTTGAATATGTAACTTTTGGACATAACATGACAGTTCTAATTTGAACAGTTTGAAATTTACATACCTTAAAATAAATTACTTTCTTAATAGAATATTCAGTTAAAAGCTGGCATTTTAAAATTGTATTATTTTTCATAACAAAACTTCTGCCCGAAGAGCTGCACTGATGAGAGATGTTGAAGACCAGAGCTGGTATCTGAAGTCCACAGTATTTTAAAATGTCCACAGTGTTTATACATAATCTTCCCTAATGCCAGCTAATCAGCTGAATTTTCTACTTCCTATTCTACCAAAAAAGTGGACTATATTACACATGAGCTAATCAGACCAAGAAGGAAAGGCAGAATTGACAGCATCTAGGAACAGAGCAATTGGGCACAGCAGATAAAAATACCAGTTCAAAATCCACAAACCAGGGACACTGAACTGGCTGATGTTCTCTTCACCTTCCCGTGCTGCTCTGCAACACATACTGTAGGTGGATTAGCTATTATGTAGGGCTACTTTAAAGATCTCCGTATGGATTCTCAGTTTTCAGACATATAATTTTGAAGACAGCAAGAATCAGGCTCTGCCTGAAGTGAAAGAGTGGGGAGTCCACCTCTTTTCACTCTGTGTGCTGTGGATTACACCCACCACCTCCACCACTTTGAGCACCAGATCAGGGATCCCAGAGGTCACGCAATGAATATGTATATGTATTACCACCAGTCTGACTCAGCAGAGCGCTCAACATGCAGTTAACTTTCAACTAGCTCTGGAATGATGCTGGTTCAAGTTTGCAAGCCTTACTGAAGAGGGACAGACTTCCTAAATTTTCAAATGGAAGTAGTGAAGAAAAACAGGAAATTGAGAGAAGCAACACACTTGTAATAAAATGGGAAGTCTCTCTCCTTTTCTCCACTTTCACTTGGATATCAGCCTAAGCCTTTTATCATTTATTTAATTTATTTCATTTTAAACCATTTAATTATTATCTATACATTAAATTCTCATGTCTATGTACATTAAATTTTGAAAATAAGATAAAAAATTTCTCCAAAGGAGTATCCCCATCTCCAGCATGACCAGAGTCAAGAAGTATTGTAAACTTAAATGTTCCATTTTGACTTCTAAGACTCAAAGAGCAGACAGTCAAGTACGTTTTCATCTGATGCAAAAGCACTTACTCACAGAGAACCAGACTCCAAATTTTGTGGCAGTTATGCATCATTAATTTCTACTGCATAAACAGTGATTTCAAGAAGTGCATTGCAAATCTATGGTCAAGACAAAGCACTCTACAGCACATCCAGCCTAGACACCTTAAAAAAAGCATGACTATTGCTGCTTTCATCAGTAAGCAGCAGTTACTCACCAGTGGAAAGGTGTGTTCATGCATCCAATGAGTATTCCTGATAGGACTGACAAAATTCTGGTGCCACAGAACATAAAAATATTCTGTGGATTTTTTGAGTCAAAAGGTTAGGTTATTCTGTTTATAAAGAATCTTAGGACAACTCAATGATTCCAAGCAAATGCTGTGCAATACAAAGTCCCTGAACATAATTAAATTATGAGTTTATTTTGTGGAAAATATCAAGGCATCTTGTTGCAGTGTCTCTTCCTTTGTAGGAAAAGAGCGATAAAGAAGTGACTGGCTCCTATCTGCTTAAACCAATACCATCTGCATATGTACTATTGGAAAAAAATGCTTTTACTGATGGCACTAAAAAAATTATTATTAACTTCATCTCAGCATGGGAAGAAAGCGTTTGAAAATTCTTGCTGTTTTGGCTTCAAAAACTGTGGGACTTGCAGTTCTGGGGATTCGGGACTTGTAATAAAGGGTCATTCTCATTTCTAACCACACGTTTCTTGGAATTTAAGGCAGGGGAGTGAATAGGACTGTCAATGGTGCTGCTCTGAGGAGCTATCCTTCCTCCAAGTGCAGGCTGGCAGGCAAGTTTCCAGTAGCTGGGATTGGGGTGCTGCTATTGGAAGATGGGCAGGGTGCTCCTGCATGAGTTCTGATTGGTGAGATCCACTGTCCACAGCTGATCCTAGGTCCCTGAGGAATACCTGCTGTCCAATGGCTCATACTGTATCATCTCCCACTACTTTTAAAAAAGTTAATGTAATCAAAGTGTGTTTTTACAGACCCATAGCTATGACTGATACCAATCTAAAGTCAGTGAGAAATCCACTGTGTACTACACCTGTTTAAAAAAATACATAAATAAAACCAAATTATATTGTAGTAAGTAACAGATGAAAGAGGACTGCACATGACTATTAATTTTGTGACTTTACTGGTTACAAGAAACTAAGTACAAGCTCTATATGGTCCCTCAGGAAGAAAGAATAAAGCCAAGCAATGACTTCAGCTCTGACACAAAGAAAACCTTTTCTTACCTTTCTCCACTCTTCAAAAAGCTGAAGTCTGTAATAAGGTCAGCTGCCTTCACATTATCTAAATAAGCCATGACATTAAGTGAATGCTGACCAACTACAATAAGGCAGCCAGAAAAGACCTCTGACAGGGAATTGTCATTAGGATGAGCTAATCTATTGCAAATTTTTCTGCCATTTCCTCAGTCTATGCTGAAAAGCACCTGCACTAGGGAAGCACCATATAGATGTTGACAAAACAGGAAAGCAGCAGGTCACATTCTAAAGGACATGCATAAAGCAACATGAAGAGAATAGTGAAACCACAGAAAAGCCTCTGTGGTCCCTCAAACTCTGTGGCACTTCACAACAGAGAAGTACTGGAGGAAAGCACAGCACAGAAGCATTTATAAACACAACTGTGATCACTTTGAAACTGAATGCTTATTATAAGCCTATAGGTATGCCATAATTGAAATATAATCACATAGTAGCAAATCTTCAAGGATAGCTTTCCAGTTATACCAATAATTTTTGAACTCTGACTTTTCGTCACTTATGTTTTCCTATTATTTAAATCTTAGAAGACAAGATTAGTAAGGGGTTTGAGAGATCATCTCAGCCACAACCTTCTCCAAGGCAGAATCAAGTAGATCTAAAATTTTTCTGACATAGAAAAGATTTTTAGGCAAAAGCAGCATTTGTAAGTCACTGGGCTAAGATATCATACAGATGGGGAATAACTTCAGCCCTAATTCAGCTGAACAGCTTAGGTCCAATTTTCATCACTAGGTTCATCTGTTAAGCATTAAGCACATGTTTAAGCAGTTTGTTCAATCATAGACTCAGTGCCTAATTAACTTGTTCAGATAAACAAATTAAGCTGACAGCAACAAAACAGAAGTATGGCTTCAATGGTGTTTTAATCCATATACCATTAAGGTTTTAATGAAGTGTTATGGTCTCCTTGCAGCAAAACACTGAGCTATAACTTTATCTTCAGCTCAAAATACTCAACACTGAAGCCAGTAAGATTCCAAACAGAATATTCATCACTGAATTTAATATAAAACCTTCATACTTAAACTTTTGCTTACTCTGATTCTGCAATGTCTCCATTTTCTCCATCTGTGAACGGACAAAAAATACAAAGCATCCTGTTTATTTCACAAAACTGCATTCACAGCACCCATCTAGACTGAAAGTCATCCAAATGCCTACAGAGACATCTATGAGTAGGTATTCACACACAGGTTCCAGGTAAAACTCACTAAAAATTAAAGGCTTAAGCATGTTATCTTCAAAGGCAAGAGCAAAATCTCTAACTAGGAGAGATATGCCTTAACCACACTAAAATGATCATGAAAGCCTTATTCTACATACTATTTTTGATTGTTATATTTTTATGTTGAGCAAATAAAAATTGTAAAGTACAACAGTAAAAATCAGTTTTACTTATTTTTGTGCCTGAGTGAAGCATAAATCACTCTCTCCAGTGAAGTCAGACAAGGACAAGAAGAGCTGACTGTTCTTAAATTCTCAGAGTTTATTTTAAAAGCAGAAAGTCCCTTGCCTTAACACAGGTGACCAAGTATTTAGAGAAGAACATACAAAAAAAAAAAAAAAAAAAAAAAAAAAGGGGGCAAGTTTTGCTGGCAAGGGTTTATACCATATCACCATAGACTGGCTACAAATAAAAATCATTCTTCCCTGTAGTTCTTGTCTGTAATTTTAACTACATTAGAAAAGTACAAATATAATTAAGAGACAATTATAACATACTGAAAGCATTAGCTTTACTCAACAAAAGAACCTTTAGTTTAATCAACTGAATTTTTCTACACAGGTTACACAGATCTACAAGGCTTATAAAACTAAGGTTGATATACAACTTGTCTTGTTATAATGCTGGTGTCTCGTGCTATTCTTCTCTAGCAACATTATATCTTACAAGGAATGACAGTGTTCTCTACTATCATCTTTCTCATTTCCTACTGTTGTGGTTTTTACACTTGAAGAAAGGCCTCTGAACTAATGATTTCCTTTCTCATGTTAGCAACTGTTTTTTGAACCAATTGACCTGCAAACAGAAACAAATCAAATTTTTTTTATGAGAGTAGAAACATGTTAAGCCATTCTTCTGCATTTTCTTCCTTTAGTCTCCTTTCTGATTCTATCATGAAAATGCATAACATTACACTGACATGCAAATGAATATATTAGCTCTTTAAAATGTTAAAGCACCTTGGAGAGCGTAAGTCTTCTCATTTTAAAAAGTATTATTTTGTGGAATTTTAATATCAATTTCCATCAGGAAATCAGGATCTTCTCATATTAGTGGCCAAACTGAATGAGACCAAAGCACCAGATTATCTAGAGGTGCATTAAATTATATATAGATAATTAAATTAGGACATGAATTATTTCCTAAAAGTCTAACTATCTTTTGCATGAAATCCATAAACAGCTACCCATAATAGTAAAACACCATACACTTCTAATCAAAGTGACCTTGGAAATCGTGAGAGTACAGCACCAAATACAATGGCTTATTTAGAAATAAGCTTTGCAATCCTGAGTATGGCTGAAATTTTACGTGCTAAGTTAAAACACAAAAATCCCTCCAACAAACAAATAAAAAAAACATGGAAATAATAATTACCTGAAATTAGTTGGCTGTACTGACAAATTACTTTGTTCTACTAAAGAAACAGAAGCACTTTCCATCTTCAAATGCAATGTTTCTGTCCATCAGTAAGATACTATAGTGACCTTTTTGTGCTCCCACATATGTCAAAAAACCACTTATGTCCACTGCTTTTAAAGTCTCCTTTTTCCTAAGCTGACATTACTCAAAGTTCTATGACTTTGCATCAATAACATTATGACAACATAAGTGCTCAAAATCCATTGCAATGACTCATAAATTGACTTTCATCAAAATAAAATTTAAATTCAAGCTGAACTGAAGTCTTGGAAAATCCAAACACTCCTCCTTGAGAAGGTGAAACAAAAGAGTAATTCACAAATCTACGTCTGTAGCACAGTATGCTATATCGTCTACCTTTCCAGTGCAGTTTTGAGAGCTTTAATCAGAGTTGGCTTACTGCTTCACCCACTGAAAGAAGAGGTAAAATACTTTTCAATTTCAACAGAAGCTAAATTACTCCACTGCAGAGATCAGTTTAAGGAATAGTAAATCCAGCTCAGGAGATGCTTTCATGGAAGCAGTTATTAGACACTGGCACTTTGCACGCAGTGTAGCAAGCACTATCACAAAGGAGAAGACTGAAAGACAAGGCACTCAACCTCCTGTTTTTCCACTGGACACATCTCACCTCTGCAACAGCTACCAGACACCACAGAAATCAAACATGAACCATAACCCCCTCCTCTGGGACTGTGCATTCCAAGACTGTGAGTGCCTGCCCTCATCCCAAACATGAATATGGATAGCCAAGACTCTCACCATGTTCCCCTCAACAATTTCCTTGGCACAATTCCAGGAAAAAATTTACTTCCTCCCAGGGCTGAGCAGCAGCATGGCCACCCAAAGTGTCTACCTACCCTTTGAGCTCTATTCTCCCCTATCAGCCCTTCCATCTATGCATGGCCATGGTTTCTGGAGCATCATCTTTCAGTGGCACCACATGAAATTACTCAGAAGTATTGGCATCACACACACACATGAGCCAGTCTGGGTGCACAGGACTGTGATGGAGAGCGGAAAGGAACAGGCACCAAAAGCTATAGGGATGCTTCACCTCAGCCTCACTTACTCCTGAGGTTTTTGTGTCTCACAACTGCTTGTGAGAAAGACAAACCTTAATACAGGTGTAAGCCACCATGCATTTTCTAAATAGAGCACACATGCATAGGAAGTGCTACAGTTTTTGTACAGTTATCTTGCTCTAGTTTGCAGAACAGAGCACGGCAATAAATTCTCATTGAAAAGGAAAACCACATAGAGATTTAACTAGGCAAGAAAAAATAACTGAGAGATTGAAATTAGGCTTGGAACAATAGGTACATTAAGAATCCCAACTGCAATGAAGGAAGACAATGTGCTTTCAAAACTGGGTCTAAAAATAAGCTTTTCTCTCAATTTATACAGAACATCTTCCCCACCCTCCATGTCTCCCAGTATCTCAGAACTCACACACTACTGAGAATAATAATTATATCATATTAGCATCCTCCGTTTTAGTAATTTGTATCCATTTCTTCACAGTAGTATTCCTGAAGTACCACAGGGGTCTTCATTCCAAACTGCAAGTTGTCTGAAAATATCACATTTTTCTAAGGTCCAGGTTTTCAGCCAAGGAAAATTAGAAAAGCCCACACAAGCTGAAGGTTTTTAGCTCTTGAGCATCATCAGAATGATACAGCATAAACAAGCAAGGCGAATGATAGCTAAAGATCTTCCACAGCACTCAAGGCAAGCAGCCCCCAAATATGATTGTGTTTCTCAGAGCTAGTCTAATGAAATCTACTAATTACTTATTACTTGCATCACTATAATTCCTAGGAAGATTAGTCACAGAAAGGAATGCCTTTGTGCAAGGGACTGTACAAACACAGAGCAGAGCACAGTCACTGATACTGCTGCAAATGCCACCAAGAGAGCAGCCGTTATCAGTGGACAGGATGATGTATATCCTAGTGTAGTTACCATTCTTGCCAGTCTGCCAGAGAAACCTTCTCAAGTTTATTATGTTAATTAAGATCTCATAAGCTTCCTCTCTACTAGGACCTTAAATATCAGAGTGGTGCTACTGCAAGTGGTTGCTCCAAATCAGCAAACTTATTGTCAGCAGGGCTAGCTACAACCTTCAGACAAGGTGCTTGAAAAACCCAATATAGAACAGGCAGCACGGAGTACCTGAGTCTGAGCAGGCTTTCTGACATGCCATCAGTAGCCACAGCATCCTCACCTAGCAAACAAAGGTTCCTGCAAGCCTTTCATGCACCTTTTGCTCTCAGTGGTGCCTTGTTCACTTTGCCTGTAATGGCTTTGAACTTTCCAGGAGTGCAGGCACAACTGCTAATGCTGCCGTGTCAGCAATGGTGAGATCTTCAATCCATGCAGGACATAGAAAACCACCAACAATGTCCCCAGAGGCAGAGGTTTAGGGCCATGGACACCTGCCCTGCCTTGGTGCCCCTGCTATGACCGCCCCTCGTGCAGGAGGCCACCACACGGCGCCCGGTTGATGGCCAGGGGGACAACTAACGCCACCCTTATCACTACCACGGATCACCCCACAGATCTCGCAATTAAAGCATGAGAAGGATCAGCTGGGGCCAAAAGCGAGCAAGGGAGGAAAGCACAGCTAAAAGTCATGAATTTAGAGTCTTTTTAGAGGCTGGAATTGCTAGCAATGTACAGGCCGGCAGATGAAGAGAGCTGTCACCTCACCAAGCACGACACGTCTGGTCTCTTGCGGACGGGGACAGTCCCTGGATGAGAGGAAGCCCCGGGCGGGACACTGCCCGGCACTAGAGCCACGAGCCTCCGCGCGGCAGCTCCGCGGGATGCACATCACTCCGGCCGGTACCCCCGGCCGCTCCCGGCTTCCCGCCCGCGCCGCTCCGCAGCCTCCCTCCGCGGGTACCTATCTCCGGTTATTCACCAGTGGGATGACAAATCTCCCAGGCGTGTGTCTGTCCCGTCTTTCCAGACAGAGCTGCGTCCCCATCTCGGCGGCGGACCGGCCGGCGAGGTGAGTAACCGCGAACTGGCGGCACCACAAGAGCGTTTGTTTTGCTTTCCCTTCTCCTCCGCCCTCCCCGCGCTGACACGGAGGCCGTGAGCCGCCGACTCACCCTGTCCCCGCCGGGGCCGGCGGCGCGGGGCTGAGAGCAGTCCGGCGAGCGGGGCAGCGGCGGGGCCGTGCCGTGCCCGTGCCGTGCCCGTGCCGTGCCTGTGCCGCGCCACGCCGCAAGTCCCCGGGCGCGGGCACGCTCGGCGGGGCGCGGCGCCGCCGCGGGGCTCAGGCACTCAGCTCCCGCCTATCCCGGCGGCAGCCGCAGCTCCCGCCGAGCGCGGCAGCCCGTGCCCCGCTGTCATGTGCCCGCCGTTAACCCTTCCCGCGGCCGCGCCCGCCCCGCCGAGCGGGGGGAGCGGCCCCTGGGGGGACACGGCTGTGAGGGGGACACGGCTGTGAGGGGAACACGGCTGTGAGGGGAACACGGCTGTGAGGGGGACACGGCTGTGAGGGGGACACGGCTGTGAGGGGAACACGGCTGGGCAGGGGGACACGGCTGGGCAGGGGGACACGGCTGGGCAGGGGGACACGGCTGGGCAGGGGGACATGGCTGGGCAGGGGGACACAGCTGGGCAGAGGCGGGAGGAGCCGGGGTCTGGCAGGCGGTGCAGGGGGCTTGATGGGGTGGCCCTGTAGGGGCTGGAAGATGCCGAGGGGGAGGCTTCGGGGCAGGGGCGGGCTGCACAGACGCTGGAGGGAATGAGGGAACGGAGGGGTGCGCTGGAAGCCAGAGGTGTTTGCGGTAGGGGAGGCGGGGGGGGATTTTGTGTCTGTGTGTAACGGAACCGAAGGGAGCTGCGGTGCCAAACCAATTCTGACGGAGGAAGAAGCAGTAGGGGCTGCAGGGTCCCTGTAGGATAGTCTGGGGGCTACACGCTACGGGTTTTATGGGGAATGCGTGGGGAGTTGCGCGGACGGAGGCTGTAAGGGGGCGTGGATGCGACCTGTGTGTGACGAGTACGAGAAAACCTAATGGTACGGCAGGGTAGCAGGTAAAACAGAGGGCTTTGGAAGCGGGAAATAGGATGAAGTGGCTTAATGCCTGGTGGCATTTTTCCACCAGGCATAGAAAGCTGTGATATGCATGCAAGAGCCCTTCTCAATTAGAAGGAAATCTGACTTGGAAAGACCACAGGACTAGCGCTGTGATAAAGTTGGAAGTATCCACTCAGAGCAAAAACACAGGGATCCTGGGGCCCCAGGCTGATGATCAGCTCTTGCAGCAACAGTTGCAGCCAAGAGGTAATTGCCATTAAGAGCGCCCGTTGCTCTCGAAAATACTGCTGCACATACAGGGTATGTCCCAGCTACTGAAACACATTGGTTCTTTCAGTTTGGGTCCATCTTATTCCCCTCTGGTGTAATTGGGAAATTGAGAATATAAATGAACTGAAGCTAGAGGTGAATGAAGCTGCTGAAAAGCCAGCCTCAGAGAGCAGCAAATTACTCAATCACTCTACCAGCATGAGCATGTAGACCTCATGGTAGGGCATCTATCAGCCAGGGATTCTCCAAACAAGGGAGCCCACTGACATGGTTGGGCAACTGAAGAGCGCAGCAGGTGCCCTCTTTCATGCCCAGCATGACCAACCCTGCATTTAAAACAACTTTAAATCCCAATTCTCCAAGAATAAGAACTGCACTGTGGCAGTCCTGATGGCTTCTTCCAAGGTTTCCTGTATTCCTATTGTGCTGCAAGAGCTGTTAGGAGGAAAGTTGAGGGAGCGGGATATATTTTGGTGTGTCCACATCACTGGGCTCTGCTAGGTCAGCCTGGATCCTTAGCTGAAGAAACTCTTCCAAGCTAAAGGTCCGTTGTCATTCATTCATACTATATCCAATTAATGTGACTGTGAATTTCATAAGTTGGTACTGTGTTCTTTACATACCCAGAAAACCTAGCAGAGATATTGAGCCTTCAATCTTTGTTTTAAAGTTTCATGGCTTTCCAGTGTTTTGGGATTTTTTTCGAAGAGTATGGATACTTAGAGATTGAGAAACTTGTAAATAAATTTACTATTCATAGCACATTTAAAGCAGAAATATTTGTAAGATGCGTCTCACTTTAAAAATCATAGTAAAAGAACCGACAACTGAAAGGGTCTTTTCCACATGAAAGCACAGAATTTATTTGTGAGCTCAATAAGTTTTTTGTTTACTGTCTCTTTACTCATGCTATATGCCAGAATTTTCTATGCAATTATCATTTAATTGGAAGTCTTCACTAAAAAGTTCAAGGATTATCCAAAAACTAACATGATAGCCATGATAATGTATGTAAATGAGTAACACAGACAACAAAAAAGGTATATACTGTCAAAGTGCTCATTTTAATTCAAATCTACCAAATAAATGGTGAGTTTGTGTTAAATAAATTGCTTTAAATAGCCATGACAATATCAGAAACCAAATCTAATCACCATTTTAAAAATCTTTTTCCCTTATCAAATTATTTCTATGTATGTGAAGTAAATTTTCTCAATTTTTCTTATGAAAAGTAGTGATGGATCCTATCACCTTGAGAAACACATGGTCTAAACCACAAGATACAGGTAGCCTTTATACACAGAATAAGAACTTTTGTTGTCATGGATGAAGCCTGGTGAGAAGTCCTGAGCATAAAGTAAGGAGGACAATCAGAACCTCAAATTAACAAAGGTAGCATTAGAAACTGTAGCTCATATCTAAAGATAATGCTTAACTTCTGATGTGCTGAAATAGCAGCAAAGCTTATGTAAAATAAGGCAGGTAAGACTAATAAGTGCATTAAAAGTAAGTGCATCCAAAGTTTTCTTAGTGAGTGACACAACTTCATGTTCATAACTGTCATACACTGTTGCATATTCATATCCATCAGTATGAACCCGTACTCATTCCTCACATAAAATTTCCTGATTATGAAATGGCTAGGTCTTAGTCCTTCAGAAAACTACTACTTTTTATTTTCACTATTGCAAATTTTATCCCCTCTATCAAAAAGAATGTAATGGAGCTAGTGGATTCTGAAATTCAAGAAATGTGTCAGAATCCACAGTAATATCTGTGAACTTTTTCTGTCACTGATCCAAGATCTGAGAGTAAAAATTTATATTTGTCACTTCAGTCCCAATTAAATTTTCATAGTTCAGTAAAATCTTTTATTTATTGTTCAAATAAATGCATAGTTGCATGCTATATGAGGGTACAGTGAACTTTGATTTAGACCTTCAGTTTACAAACTATCCAACATAGAAGCATTTTTCAAAATACTCTTCTTTTAAGGAAAAAAGTGCCCTTTTTCTTCTTTTTCTCTGTCCCAAAGTCTGCTGGAATAACACAGCATCCACCAGACCTTGCAAAGTCTCTTCCTAGCCTGATTCTTGTATCATGTCATTGGGTTTCTTGTCCTAGAGTGTTACTCCCAGGTATGCAGGAAAAGAGAGACATGCTCATATAAATTCTTGTCTTCTGTGTCCCAGGGAAAGACCATATTTATAAGTGAGCCCTGACAGGAGATGGTCAGTGGCTAAAGACTCTGAAAAGAGTTCATTCAATAGGGAGAAAGAAATTGAATGAAGATGAGATTATTTATTTTGTTTACTGGTATTTGTGGAAGCGCTTTTAAGAAAGGGAATTACTCTCTTGATGTTGAAGCATCATGTATGAAAACTCAGATTATTTTTTTCAGGGTCCAGAGGAAAACCATTGTAGCAGAGGGAATAGAGAATAAGGAATGTGACAACCAGAAGATACGGCTGGTTCTAGTTTTTCTTATCTCTTTCTTCTGTATACTGGTAGTAGCAGAACTCAGCTTTTAAGGAAAAAAACTTAGGTACTAGGATTGTAAGACAAATTAATTTTGCATTTCTGCAACAAATCTGAAAAAAAAAATTGACCCAAACACCTTTGATATTGTGGCAGTCAGTTTAATGGGAGGACAAGACTCCACTGAAAATAAAGAGAATCTCAAGAGTACCTAGAATACAATGATACTTTTACTGACACCAGTGTATTAAAATATCATCAAATTGGGTTTTCCTGGTTTAGCTGTAAAATCAAGTCTTGCACCTCTCCTATCTTAGCTTAGACTGACTCCTGGCAAGAAGGGACTCTGCAAGGGGGCTCTGTTTCCCATCAGAAACAGAGCAGCATCTCAGGACTGATATCTCTTCTTTAGTAGAAAAAATAGGGAATTATGGGCATAAGTTCTGGGGTTTGATCCTTCATCTTTCCAATCACAGGTCACAGGTTGCATTTACCTGCTCCTCACTGGAGATCAAGGAGAGCTGTCTGATAACATCATGACATAGCAGGGCCACAGAGCTTTTCTCTGTGTTCAGTTTCCTTTTTCTATATCCATATTTCACAAATATTACATTTTTAGAGGGTTTTACTTGCTACGCAGGAGATGAGGCAATATGTTTGTCATCCACACTGCAAGAAACACTTATGAAGATCTTCGACAGCATGTAGATACCCTTATAACAAATCAGTTCCTCTCCTTGAAGCTCCAGCAACTCACCCTGCACTGTGAATTGAAGATATGTATAAAAGCTGTTCCATTACCACTCTTAAATATAAGTGTCAGGTGGAGAGAAAGCTGTCTGTGGAATAAATATGAAAAAAATATATGCATTCTACTAACCTCCTCAAAGAAAGTGAGTTTGATTCCCCAACATTCTTATACACTGATAAACAGAATTAATTTAATTAAATTGTAATCTAGTTTTATACAGTACAAACACACATGCAGAACCTTTGCAGAAGAATGCAGTCATTATCTATAAAAATACGTAATGATATCATGTACCTTTGGGATTGGAAAATAAAATTATTAGATGAAAATTAATTGCAAGGGACTTCTATATTCCTACAATGTACCTGAAGAAGACGGAACTGAGACTGATAAGTACAATAAGTTTTCCAACTCTCATAAAAAATTAATTAGTGAAAAGACATAATATCAGCAGGGGAAT